AAACAGGCGATCAGATCAGAACGAGGTGAGACCCAAACACCAGACAAAGGCAATATGGTATGACGCGATCGGATGAGTAGATGTCGGTAGTGTTTAACGTATTTTAAATATGGCCTCTTGGGCACGAATTTGAAAGTAGCTTGTATGAGCTGTCACGTCGGTTCGTCGGTGCTAAAACTGTCCAATTGGTGGATGGTGATTGAATCACTAATATTTTGATTTTTTTTTTTCATCTCTGTGATCTAGACATTCAAGTTCGTTATCTTCAAAATTAGTCCAGACCAGATTATAAAATTTCTAATTTTTTTCCTTGCCTATGATCTCTGAATAGCATAGACAATTTTATCACAAACCGTCTGATGTTTCGAAACAAAATCTAATCCCAAAATCTTTACTTACTTCGTGATCTTGAATGTTTTCCAAGTTTCAGATTTTGATAGAATTTTTAATAGAAAATATTTAAAGCTCGGTAGCTTTAGTATTCGTCCAATTTTATTTTAAAATTCCAAGAACAAATTTTAGAAAAAAAATTCTATGTCCAAGATCATCAAATGTTATTTACGTTTCAAAAGTATTTAATTTTTTTCTAAAACTGTGAACTTATTTAAAATATATTCAAAATATGAACATTGTTCCAAGCACACAATTGTCTTAATTTGTTTTGTCTTAGTTATCTCGAATTTCTTAAGTCCCAGCATTGAAAAATGGTTTCAAAATCTCTAAAAGTTATCCCAGATCGAGATTTTAAGTCCTAGGCGCATACAAAATTTTCTATGTTTCTATCTAATATTTCTATCCTGGAAAATTTTCCTCATTCCAGAATAATTAGATTTTTTATAGGACTGCTATGAAAATTAGTATTGGTCCCAGAGTTATGAAAGTTTGAGATGTTACAAAAAGTTTCTATGTCCGAAATCTTTAAAATCGATTGTCTAAAATTTGTCTAAATCCAAGACTTTGAACATTTTTCTCTGTGCTCGAATTTTTCGCCAATTTCACCAATTCGCGATCTGAATCTAAAATCATCTTAATAAATTGTTTGTCGTCATAAATCGAGTCAGAAAAATGAGTAATGAGTGAGTAAATGGGCAATGCACTTGCTTATTGAATTCATAACATTATTATTCTATTACCTAATAATAGGAGAAGAAGGGGCATAGTGAGCTTCCTGTGCTTTAGCCTGTCTGCAATGGTGTTTGAAAATCATTTATTTTAGTCACTAAAGCCACTACTATTATATTACATACCCACTACCAGGCCTGAGTTTAACTCATAGCCCTCAAAAAACTTGTTTTGATCTAAACAAGCTAAACTTTGATTGCAGTAAACACCTAAAAAATGCGGATAATAGGGAAAATGTAAATGGAAACCGCGTAAACTGTGACCATACTACGTGGGATTTGAGATCCTGACCAGATAGAAATTTACTGTCTCCGACAAAATTGTTCAGCAGATCATAGCGTTGTCGCTGGTGGACAATAGTTCAAAATTTGCTCACTACACGACGCTAGTATACACGTGAAATTCTCATATAAAATATCTCGAGTTCCCAACCAGATATAATGGTACTGTCTTCGGCATTGTTGTTCAGGACGTCAAGGCTTTTTCGCAGGTGGACAGTAGTTCAGAGTTTTCTCACTTTGCGGTGCTACTATACATGTGAAACTCTTACATATAAAATATCTCTAGTTCCTGACCAGATAGCAAGTAAATGTATTCGGCAAAGTTTTTCAGGAAGTCAAGTTCTTTCTGTTGGGTGACAATAGTTCAGAAATTTCTCACTATGCACCTTTCTCGCATATTCAATAACTCGAGATCTTGATCAGCTAGAAAGTTGCTGTCTTCGGCAAAGTTGTTCAGGAGGTCAAGGTATTTTGGCTGGTGGACAGTAGTTTAGAATTTTCTCACTTCATGGTGCTAGTATACATGTGAAATTTTCGCATATAAAATATCTAAAATTTTTGACCAGATAGAAAATTACTGTCGTCGGCAAAGTTGTTTAGGATATCACAAAATGTTTGCTCGTGGAAAGTTGTTCCAAATTTTCTCACTACGTAGCGCTAGTGAAATGTAAAATTTTCGACTGTGATATATCTCGAGATCCTGACCAGATAGAAAGTTACTGTTTTGAACAAAGTTGTTCAGGAGGTTAAAGCCTTTTTCTGTGCACAACGTTTCAGAATTTTCTCACTACGCGGCGCTAGTATAAACGTGAAATTTTCACGTATAAAATATCTCGAGATCCTGACCAAATAGAAAGTTACTGTCTTCGGCAAAGTTGTTCAGGAGGTCAAGGTCTTTTGGCTGGTGAACGGTAGTTCAGAATTTTCTCACTGCGCTGCGCACGTATACACGGGCAATCCTCATATATGCTACAGCTCGAGATCCCGAACAGCTAGAAAATTACTGTCTTCGGCAAAGTTGTTTAGGAGATCAAAGCCTTTTTTGCTGGTGAACAGTTAATAGTTCAGAATATTTTCTGTATGCGGCGCTAGTGTGCATGCAAAATATATGTTTATACTATAGCTTAAGGTCAGTAAGTAACTGTCATCGTCAAAGTTGTACATGCGGCAAAGTTCTTCCGGATGGTGTTCAAAGCTCTCTCATTTTACGTCTAATTTTTGATCACCTTAGGTTATTTGTTTGGTATAGCATAAGGGTTCTACTACTATTTTTAATTTAAATTTTTTTTTTTTCAAGTCTATTCTGCGAAAATTAATCATGATTCTTCAGAGTAAATTTTGAAAATTAGTGTAACTTTGGGTGAACCTTTGGTATACAAAATTTGAAATTTATATTGAGCAATTTGCCTCTTCGTATTTCCCATTCAAAATCTTTCAAATGTTCTAAAAAGATCGAAAATTTGACGTTTTTAGGGGGTGTCCTTAAACTTATGATCGGGAGTGTACGGTTTTATAATTTTCTCCATTCAACTAAGCAAAAGTGCCTCACTCTCTGATTTTGTCTCGTTGTCCGTGCACACGTAAATACAGGTATTTTTTTTTTTGTTCTAGACTCCTCGGTAAAACTTTTTGAAATTGGCCTAAAATGAAAGGAAGACTCTAAACATTCATTTGGTGGAAGTTTCAGCGATATTGATCTTTTAAGATAATGTTTTCCATCTGAGATACGTCCGAACAAACAATCGTCTATTGAAGAAACGACTTCTTGGCCATTTTATTCAACTGCATGCTTAATAGTACTTGTACTATTTTTAATAATAACTTCTGTTCAGGCTTTGTTCGATGATGCTCCGTATACGCTTGATTCTCATGTGAAGTAACGTTTAATTAGACATTATTATACATTTATTAAAAGATTATTCAATTGTGGGAAAATTAACCCGAAAATAGGAGGGGCGCGGGGACAGGGAAGGGTGTGTTTCTTAAGTGATTGTATGCTTCCATCGAGCTTAAGATTGAACTCAATTGTCATTGTTCCATAGAGTTCGGTTCCCCTTGATCCAATCATTTTTGGTAGATTAACTAACTTTTAAAAGTAACACCTCTCATGATTTTCGCTGCACTCAAAATATCGCGTCTATGTATTTGTGGGTTGAATCTGATTAAAATTCAAAAAAAATCGCAGGCCTTTATTTTCCTCAAAAATCTGCTCGAGTATGAAGAAACTCGAAGACATTTGTCGTGTCAATGTATCAAATGTAAAAAATATTACATCGGTCATCGATGGATGTTAATTCTGGAGCACCAATAGAAAAGGGGCCATCAGCATTTGTAAACAAACCGTTACAAAGCCTTTTTTTCAAAAATCAAGACAAATTAACAACATCATTGTGTTGGGGAAACTTTCTCCTATCCGATGATGCTGTTGGTTTGCGTGGACAGCCTTCGCTTTGCGAGGAAAGGGCTTTAGCACACGTATTGTTCACAAATGCTGATGGGTCCTTTTCCCTTGTTGTTCCAGAATTTGTTCACAAGAACTGTGTTCACGGCGAATGAGAACGACCCAAATTTGAGTTTAGCTTACTCATACATCACATAAAGTGCAGGAACTCAGCGATGAGTAAATTTGCCTCGTGTTTTTCCAGGCTTGCCCAGGAACAAATTCCCAAACATGAGAAAATTCAAGATTGGATTCACTCAGTCTATGTACTATGTACATTTTCCTGCAGATTTTTGAGGTATTCCACAGAAAAACATGAGGCAAATTTACTCGTCGGTGAGTTTCTGCACTTTTGGCAATCATGAGTAAACAAAACACAAATTTGGGTCGTTCTCATTCGCCGTGTACATCCTGGATGGAATGACCTACGGGTGCAGCAATCTCGATGTAATAATTCGACAGTGAGCATGAATAAGGGTCTAACTACGATAATCGATTATCTTCATCGACAGCTAAGGGAAGCAATTTTCTGAAATTTGTCCAATACAGAGCGCTAAACAGGTTGTATTGGCTATCAAAAGCAACGCACCGAGAAATATTTATCCAAGCAAGTTATTAACAAAAGCGAAAATCGACGAAGAGAATCTGCCCTTATGAACGCTTAGTGTCGAATAAAATATTCAACAACACTTCATGTATGGCAACACTTCGCATCCCACCAACACCGCCAACACCTGATCGATGTTTTGTTTCTCTCTTCCCGAAAAAAAAAACGAGAGAGAACGCAATCATGACAAATTCTCACAAAACTCTCTTCGTTTTAAAGACCCTGCAAAACTGCATCACCGCCAGCTGTGGTGCCATGCTGGTGCTGCATTTTCAAGAGCAAAACATACCCTCATTGCACGGAACGCGCAACATATGAAAAGCAAAACAATAATATTCGTTCGTTCGTTCGTTCGCTCGCTCGCTCTTTTTTCCCTTGATGGCTCGTCAGTGTTGCTCGCGGCGCGGGGCCTGTGAAAAAGTGCATTCGTTAGTTTTCTCTTCGCGTGACCTGTAGCAAGAACGGCATCGTCCGCTGTCGTTTAATTTTCCACCCGTTGCGTGCCCATAGTAGTCCAGTAGTAAACATTGTGCAATACTACCCATTTCGTTTGACGTTCCGCGAGTTGTAGTTTTTTGTTTTACTCTTGCACCATCCGCCAGGAGTGGATCTCCAGACAGGACAACGATGACAATGATTCCGATCGCCCCTATACAGTAGATATCGAATTTTCCTCCCGTTCTATCACGCGTCGCCGCCGCCGTCGCCGCGCGCCGTATGGATGCTTCTGGAGTGAATTAAAGGAGCTTTTCCTATCTTCGTTCCAGGTTACGAGTGTTCGATAAGCCAGGGATGACCGATTCCAAGTACTTCACCACCACCAAGAAGGGTGAAATTTTCGAGCTCAAGTCCGAGCTCAACAATGACAAGAAGGAGAAGAAAAAGGAAGCGGTCAAGAAGGTAAGTGACGGAGCGCGATGTGCGGTTCTGGTTATTATTTATGCGTACGATGCGCCTCATCGGGTGGGGTGGTTATGTATTAGACTGGTTCGGGATATTGAATGATGAGTTTCTTGCTTAGCAGTTAAGTTTGTCAATAGGTGACGCAGTGTATCGTAACAATCGAACAAGGTTGCAAAAGCTGCTGTTAGTGAGTTTTGAATTGAAAAAAGTGATAACCTACCTAACTACGAGTGTAACTTAGCCTAACGTGCTAGATCTCGTATGATCTGATGAGTTGTTCTCAGACAGGTGTCTCTGAACCTTTCCAGGATAAAAACTCTCCGTTCTTCTAATGCCTGAAATCCAGCCAGGAGGTGGATCTCAGAATTTCTAGTTCGCGGGGGACTGTTTAGGATCAACCTAAGGATCTTGTTCCTTAGGATCCCTTGGAGCTTAAGGTGATGGCATTTAGCGTAACTCTTCCAGATTGGCATACCGTACTCGATTAGGGGAAGGATAATTTGTTTGTAGACGGCAAGCTTATTTTTCAGGGACAGGGTAGGCCTCCTGTTGATGAGTGATTTTATCAACGTGCTCCCTGAAAATCAGCTGTCTAGTATTAACCCGAGGTAGACTACCTATTTCGACCATTCCAGCAATGTGCCGTTCAGGCAAATCTTATTATCCTCCGACGGAACAAGTCTGGGAGATTTACAGTGTTGAAAGATGGTTATCTGTGTCTTTGCCGCGTTGATATGGATCTTTCAGCTGTTGAAATATTCAGACAGGACGTCCAGGCCTCTCTGAAGTTTGGCAGTCAGAGCTCCGAGGACCCTACCCTTGTAGACGATGGATGTGTCATCTGCGAACAGAGACAACGATCCACCATCAGGGAGAGCCGGCATATCGGAGGTGAACAGATTGAATAAAATGGGGCTAAGGATGCTTCCTTGTGGAACCCCGGCACTGAGGTTGAAAGCATCCGATGTGATGCCATTCAGAGAGACTCGGAACGTCCTGTCCGCTAGATAGTTATTTATTATCTTCACTAGGAAGATTGGAAGACCGTTCTGCTGCAATTTGAACACCAGGCCATCCTGCCAGATATTGTCGAATGTTTTTTCAACGTTCAACAACGCTATGGCAGATGTTTTCGACACAGACTTGTGCCGTCTGAGAATGTTTGTTACTCGAGTCAGCTGGTGGAGGAACCTTTCCGAAAACCAAACTGTTCCTCGAGTGTTTTCTTCGGCACATGTTAGCAGCCGGTGATAGACCGCTCTTTCGAACAGTTTTGATAACCCTGCGAGAAGGCTGATTGGTCGATAACTTGAAGGAGAGGACGGATCCTTCCCCGGTTTCCGGATGGGTATGACTTTAGCTGACTTCCAACACGAGGGTAAGTAGCCGAATCGGAGGCACAGATTAAAAATCAGTGCCAGATGGTTGTAGAATGTGGAACTTAAGTGTTTGAGTTCCAGATTCAGGATGTTGTCGAAACCTGGGGCCTTCATGTTTTTAGATGATTTGATATAGGCCAACAGTTCGTCAGCCGCAATCTCGGATTCCTCGGGAATCATATTAGGAATCTGACGGAGGTTGGTTGCGTTTACAGCAATCTTGATTAGCCCTTTTCGCACTGCGATCAATCATTGTGTTGTTATTTAGAAAAAAAAAATGAGCAAAATGTTAATTAGATAACAAATTGAATTTTTACCCAATTTTTTTGGTTTTCAAGAGATTGGTATTGACCGATTCTATAACATTCCCCAGAAAAGTATGCCATGTATTAGATTGACTATTTTTGTTTATTATAGTTACTCCTGGAATCTTCTTTCGCGTATATAAAAAGAAGAGAAAAACTTCTTAATAGGTCAAGGAGTTTTCCCTTCTTTGAAAATATACGAAAAGGAAATAGTTAATTCTTTGGATATACACGATAAAGAAGGAAATATTCCTTTCTTTTTTTCGAGATTTGACCAACTGCAGTCTTAATGGGCTAGCATCTCGGTTGGGCTCTCCATGCGATACACAATACTAACAGACGACTCGAGCTATGGTGCTCACTAGGTCATAATATATATACATAAATTCAGCAATCAACTAAATTTTCAATAGCGACCAAAAATATCCATTAGTACCGTCCCAATGACGTGTTCATCTAGATAAAATTTATAAATAGCAGACTTTTAACAATGGGCCCAATGTTAGATCCATAGGGGCCAACATTAGAGCCATTTCCCCTATATAATATCCAAATGACCAAAAAAAAAGTGATAAATTACTAATTTCATCATCTTTTCTGGAGAATGGAATTCTGGGGAATGTTATAGAATCCACTTGACCTAGGCAAAAACAAAACAAAAAGAATCATTTCCAATTTGTCCGAACCAGTCTAAGGAAAAGTGTAATAATTGTACGTTTGTCCATTTCTATTTGTTCCATCGTTCTCTTTCTTCCTCTTTTTCTAGGTCATTGCCAGCATGACGGTTGGCAAGGACGTTTCCGCACTCTTTCCGGACGTCGTCAACTGCATGCAGACGGACAACCTGGAGCTGAAGAAGCTGGTCTATCTCTATCTGATGAACTACGCCAAATCGCAGCCCGATATGGCCATCATGGCCGTCAACACGTTCGTTAAGGTAAGCAGTCCCAAGTTGGTTCCTCAGAAAGTGTCTTTCCAAGCACCACACACAAACACATCCGGTCCAGTTTCTCATTTTTTCTAGCTTTCGAGATCGCATTATGTTCGGTTCCACCAAGATACTCATTGTTATCTACCCTCCCTCGTTCGGTTACTTCTATACATATTCATTTGCGAATCCTAACCCTTTTGCTAAGTTTCGCTGAACTCGAGCTAGGCCAGTTTTCTAAAGCTTGGTTTTTCGGTTGAATTTTGCTATTATTTCACCGCCTCAAGGTTGATCTATTTTATTTCTGTTAAACGAAAGCAAACGAATGTAAGGGAAGAAAACTAAAATGTAAATCGGATTCATTGGAGATAGCCGGGAACGGTGCCAAAAGATGCACCACCGGGGGACGAACACGTAAGGTACGCGTGTCGCCCGCCACCCAGTCGTCACTTTATATACGAATGCAACTATTTTGCTGTACATATGCTAGAACATATGGGAGTTCGGACGAGTGTGTTGCTGCAATTGCTTTACAACTGAGCGCGAATCAATTTAGATTTTATTGAAATTAATAACCCTCGTCGTCTTTTACACTTTTCGTTAATTGGTCACCACCAGGCGAGACTTGTTGTTATGTTCGCCTGCTTACTACATAGCGTATCCTAAGTTCTCGTCCCTTGACGCCTTTGGTTAATCATATCGAAGCGATAAGCGAAGCAAATTTCATTCCGTCGTTTATCTTTACAGTTGTCGTGCATTTAGTCGCGCGGGTACCTATTTATGTGTTTCTTCGAAGCCACTGTGAGTCATGTGCGAGTGGAGATTGACCAAATATTTGCCCAAAGTGTTGGTGGGTTTATCTGTTTTGTTTTGGTTTATTTTTTAAGTTTGCATTCGTACACCTGTGTAATGCCTGTGCGTAAGAAGCAAATGAGTTAAACAAACATATCTCACCAAAGTGAGAATTCTCAGAACAAGCCTGATAGGACTTGGAACCTAAATAATATTTTTAAACATTTCAAATGAACTAAAGTTGAAACTGTCGTGATAGTAGAGAGTTATGGAAAGACGACTACTTCTGTCGAAGGATAATTAGAAGACTGATTTATTTAACTTCAAACTCAAACTCATGGCTACTACGATCTAACATATCTTAATAGAGCTACTACGATCGGTTTGCTCGTTCTTGACACCCCTCCTCAAACTGATCGTGGGAAAACTCCGATACTCGAACAGTGCTTCCGGAACGGCATCGTCGACAAACCATTCGTCAACAAGTCAGCTTGCTGCTCACCCGTTGGAATGTAGCGAACTTCAAGTTTCTTCGAAGCTACACATTCCCGCACAAAATGTATCTTGACGTCGGTGTGCTTCAAACGCTTCGAAGGTCCGGCTGATTCCATGATAGCAATGGTTAATTGATTATCTTCATATAAAAATGGCGGCTGCTGTTCGAGCACCCCAAAATGGCCTCGCACGCTGCGTCTGCTAAAGCGGAATATTCCGCTTCGGTCGACGACAAGGATACGGTGCTCTGCTTCCTGGTACTCCAACAGACTGTGACTCCGTACAGCTTGAACAGGATTCCCGAAACCGAACGCCTGACGTTGATATCCGTAGCCCAGTTCGCGTCCGCATAGCCAGTCACTTGCCGGATGGGACCGGTCGACCGGTTGTACACCAGTCTGTGGTCAGCTGTCCCCTGCAGATACCGCAAAATCCGCTTGGCGTGCACCCAGTGATCTTCGGATGGATTGCTCTGGAACTGACTGAAGTAATTCACCGCTGCGCTAAGATCTGGTCTGGACGTCACCATCAAATAGGCAACCTATCAGCTCACGGTATGGCTTCTCCAGCTTCTCGTCCGTGTCGTTCTTCACAAGTTGCAGACCCGCTTCCATGGGAGTTGATACGGGCTTGCACTTCTCCATTTCGAATCGCTTCAGGATCGATTTCGTGTAGTGTTCCTGACTTAGTCGCATTCGTCCCGACAACACGTCCCGGTTAATCTTCAATCCCAGGAACATCTTCGCTTCACCCATGTCCTGCACCGAGAACTCCGACTTCAGCAGCTTCTTGATGGTACCGATGACACCCAAGGAACGAGAGACGACGAGGATATCATCGACATACAGCAGCAGGAACACTTTCTCACCATCACGTCACTCTCGGACCTGCGAAAGCCGATCCGGGTTGCAAACTCGTGAAAATAGTCGTTCCACGCCTTCGATGCCTGCTTCAAACCGTAGATAGATTTGTTTAGCTTACAGACTCGATCCCCCTCCTTAAATCCTGGAGGTTGGCGCATGGAGATCTCCTCCGAGAGATGACCGTTCAAGAACGCCGTCCGGGCGTCCATTTGGTAGATCAGCAAATTCTCCTGGTTTGCCAATCCCAGCACCATTCGAACCGTCGACATCTTCACCACCGGAGCGTAGGTTTCAGAGTAATCATATCCATACCGCTGCGTGAATCCTTTGGCAACCAATCTCCCCTTGTGCTTGTCTATGTTGCCATCCGGCGTCATCTTCAGCTTGAACACCCATTTGCAATCCACCGGTTTTCGTCCCGACGGTAGATCCACCAGCTCCCAGGTATTGTTTCAGTTCGTCCTCAATGGCTTCACGCCACCGCGGCCAATCCTCTCGCGACTTCATCCCTTCAATGGTGTCCGGTAGGTTCTGCACGTAGTTCTCCGCATTTAACGCGTACGCCAGGCACGAGTAGTCGCCAAACTTTGCCGGGGCCTTCCGTACACGTACGCTTCTTCCCGGGTTAACCTCTTCTTCTTCATCATCATCTTCTTCCACCAGTGTTTCATCGTTGTCGTCATCCTGGTCGTCGTTTGGAGAATCAACTTGTTCATTTGCTGGCTCAATTTCAACTACTGTTTCATCTAGGATCACCGCCTGCGATTTCGGTCGGGTCCAAACCGGTTGCGCTTCGTCATCTTTGACATTTTTCACAGGTTCTTCGCTGGTCGACGTATACCTTGATTCATTCACGATGACGTCACGAGCAAGAAACACCTTCTGCTTGTGACTGTCCCACAAACGATACCCGTTCGTACCGTAGCCCACGAAGTAACATACCTGGCTACGCGCGTCTAAAGGGTGATACGGTCAAAATTTGGTCAAGGGAAAACGCGTGTAAATCGGTGAAATCGTTTATTTAAAAAATCAAATTAAATGTCTTTTTCAAGTTCAATTAGTATAAAATTCAGGAAAAATATTCAGTTAGGCTTCCGCTTTTCCAAATCCGAATTGCCGGGCCTTACGCTTGACCCCTGCCATCAGATTTTGTACAGCCACCTTGTCCACCTTCTTCGCCGCAGAAAGCCAGTTTGCCTTGAACTGCTGCTCGCCCTTAGCAGTTTTTTTTTGGTCTTCTTTAGGTTCCGCTTGACAATAGCCCAGTATTTCTCAATTGGGCGGAGCTCTGGCGTGTTGGGAGGGTTCTTGTCCTTGGGAACCACCTGCACGTTGTTGGCGGCGTACCACTCCATGGCCTTTTTACCGTAATGGCAAGATGCCAAATCCGGCCAAAACAGTACGGAACAACCGTGTTTCTTCAGGAAAGGCAGCAGACGTTTATTCAAACACTCTTTCACGTAAATTTCTTGGTTGACAGTCCCGGAAGCTATGAAAATGCTGCTTTTCAAGCCACAGGTACAGATGGCTTGCCAAACCAGATATTTCTTTGCGAACTTTGACAGTTTCATGTGCTTGAAAACATCTGCTACCTTTCCCCTTCCTTTTGCCGTATAAAACTCCTGTCCCGGAAGCTGCTTGTGGTCGGCTTTGACGTAGGTTTCGTCGTCCATTACCACGCAGTCAAACTTCGTCAGCATCGTCGTGTACAGCCTCCGGGATCGCGCTTTGGCCGTCGTATTTTGTTTATCATCGCGATTTGGAGTCACTACCTTCTTGTAAGTCGATAGTCCGGCTCGTTTTTTGGCTCGATGCACGGTTGTAGACGATACACCCAGCTTATTTGCGGCATCTCGGAGAGAGAGGTTAGGGTTTCACTTGAAACTACCGGCAACTCTCTTTGTCGTCTCAGCGGCTTCCGGTTTTCGATTTCCCCCCGATCCAGACTTCCTGGCTGTCGACAAACGTTCCCCAAACACTTTAATTACATTTGTAACGGTTGATTTGGCAACTTTTAGCGATTTTGCCAACTTTGCGTGCGAGTAGCTCGGATTTTCGCGATGCGCTAGCAAAATTTTGATACGCTGCTCTTCTTGCTTGGACGGCATTTTGACAACTTAAGAGTGTATTCCAAAATCAAAATAGGAGCAACATTCTACACACACACACCTTCAAAATGAGGGGTGTTCAGGTTTTTTAAATGCAAAATTGAAAGAAATACGTCAAGTTGATATTGACCAAATTTTGACCGTATCACCCTTTACAAACCGGTCTGCAAGTATGATAACGTCCAAAGCGTACCAGACTGCTGTTTCCGTGTTGCTCCCGTTTGACGCGTGATTGCTGAAAGTTTCAATTACAACTAGTGGTGCAAACCGTCATGTATTGTGGAAAATTTGTGGTATGTTTCAAGAGGTGATAGCAGGTCTGCTTGGCTTACATCCGGCATTTGACCATTCACAAACTTTAGGTGCACTATTTAACGAGTTTTGTCATGGTATTGATATCGACATGATTAGAAATCAATCCATTAGGGATTAGGCAGACCATCCGAACTGAATTTAATCCTTTTTGAAGCAAACCAAGCTCGAAGATTTAATTGAGCCACACTATAAAATAGTGTATTCATGGTCACTTGTGGTCTGAAGTAAAGAAGTAGAACTATAATGCGACCATAAAATCTATAAAAATCTAATCGCATTTTTTTAATTATTTACACCAAAAATGCTCACTTTTCTTAAATGAACACTTCAAAATAGACCAAACTTTTTGAACGCATATAACGAACAGGCGCTTGATTTGCGGCTTTCCGATACTCCTGATCTACATTCGTTTGCCTCGGTAACTCATCAAATTATTTGAAGGTTGTTATAATGCACTCATACACTTATCATTTAGTGCTAGCTTGTTTTCGTCGATCACCCCTTTCTTCACTTTCCTCTTGTCTTATCAATTTCCTCGTTTCACTTTTCTGTTCTTCCATTTCTTACTCTCCACAACCGACTTCTCTTTCATATACCTTATAATCCTTCTCTATATATTTATCGCTATACCGTACTTTTTAAACCATATCTATATACGAATAAAACATATTGATACCACAATAAAATTATAATAACTCATGTAAACTGTGTAAGGATTTGCCACATTCTCAACTCGTTAAGGTAATGATGAACCGTTTATTAGTTTACCCTTTAGCAAAAAAAAATCTTTCGTTTTTAGCACTTCCGCTCTATCTCTATTCTATATTTGCCGAGAGTTTTCGTTTTCGATTTTTAGCGCAAAATTTTCAACTACAAAAAAACTAACTTAGCTGAAAGTTGTTAGTGTTAAACAATTATTGTTTTTTTTTTATGCGTTTTTTGTTTTCGTTCCTGTCTGTTATTTATGTTAGCGCTGTGTTAGAAATGTTTACAACTACCTACATCTGGGCTGATCAGAATTCAGCCCAGCAATCACATGGCTTTCAGCTTCGCTGTAAATATCCAAACAAATGAGCAGAAAGCGCAGGTCAATGTAAAAAGTTGAAGTTTCTCTTGATTGACAAGCAAATTGAAGTAATTAGAGCATTACTGGTATGTTGAGAATTGGAAAATCACTTAGCTTATAGGGTCTAGCGAGGGCATGCTATTCTAGCCTGAATGTACTTCGAATTTGTGTTGCGCTAGTGTCTTTCTAATGTCCTTTTCGTTTTTGCGATGTAGCAGTCGTTGACAGCTCAACATCATTTCTTTGCGGGGCAACCGACATCTACGCCCTGAATTATGTCGGTGTACGGCGGTGTGGCTACACCGCAAAAACGAAAACGACATAAGTGTATCTTTTGCATGGTTTTTTTTTCAATTATTAAACTTAAGTTTGAGTCATTCGAAAAAGAAATATCATCCCTGCACCCTTTTCCTCAGTTGTACATAAGTATCCCTTGTACGATTCTTTGCTTCATCAATTTTTGTATTCTGTTGAAATTCATTTTATTCCAACAACCATCTAGCGCCCGTTTGTAAAAGCTTGTTGATATTTTGTTTTGCTCTAGAAAACTATATATTACGCTTTCCCTTAGATGGCAGCACTAGTGTTCCGTTTTCAAAAAACCTTCTGACCGATTGCATTCCAATTCTTCCAGGACTGTGAGGACACGAACCCGTTGATTCGTGCGCTGGCCGTTCGTACGATGGGCTGCATCCGCGTGGACAAGATCACCGAATACCTGTGCGAACCGCTGCGTAAGTGTCTCAAGGATGAGGATCCGTACGTCCGGAAGACAGCTGCCGTCTGCGTGGCTAAATTGTACGACATCTCCAGTTCGATGGTGAGTGTGTATGTGTGTGTGATATAAATAATCTAATTCAGTTAAAATTTATCAAAAACTACCTAAGCCGTCTACTGTCAACCAGGTGGAGGATCAAGGGTTCCTGGATCAGCTGAAGGATCTCCTGTCAGATTCCAATCCCATGGTCGTCGCGAATGCCGTTGCTGCTTTGAGTGAAATCAACGAAGCATCCTCCAGCGGCCAACCGCTGGTCGAAATGAACTCGGCCACCATCAATAAGCTGCTGACGGCGTTGAACGAATGCACCGAGTGGGGACAGGTGTTCATTCTGGATTCGTTGGCCAACTACACGCCCAAGGATGAACGTGAGGCTCAATCCATTTGCGAACGTATCACTCCACGATTAGCCCACGCCAATGCCGCCGTGGTGCTGAGTGCCATCAAGGTGCTGATGAAGTTGCTGGAAATTTTGGCCAACGATAGCGATTTCTGTGCAATGTTGACCAAGAAACTAGCTCCGCCTTTGGTGACGCTGCTCAGTTCCGAACCGGAGGTGCAATACGTTGCCCTGAGAAACATCAATTTGATTGTACAAAAGCGTCCGGATATTCTGAAGCATGAAATGAAGGTGTTCTTCGTGAAATATAACGATCCAATCTACGTGAAGCTGGAGAAGTTGGACATTATGATTCGCTTGGCCAACCAGAGTAACATTGCACAGGTTCTGAGCGAACTGAAGGAGTACGCTACGGAGGTTGATGTGGACTTTGTACGAAAGGCAGTCCGAGCCATCGGACGTTGCGCCATCAAGGTGGAACCATCGGCGGAACGCTGCGTTTCGACCCTGTTGGATTTGATTCAGACCAAGGTGAACTACGTCGTTCAGGAGGCTATCGTCGTGATCAAGGACATCTTCCGTAAGTACCCTAACAAGTATGAAAGTATCATTAGTACTCTGTGCGAGAATTTGGATACCTTGGACGAACCGGAAGCGAGAGCTTCAATGGTTTGGATCATTGGTGAGTACGCCGAACGTATTGACAATGCCGACGAACTGCTGGACAGCTTTTTGGAAGGATTCCAAGACGAAAATGCCCAAGTCCAGCTGCAGTTGCTCACTGCCGTGGTGAAACTGTTCCTGAAACGTCCAGCCGACACTCAGGAACTCGTTCAGCATGTCCTCTCGTTGGCCACTCAAGATTCCGACAATCCGGATCTTCGTGATCGTGGTTTCATCTACTGGCGTTTGCTGTCCACCGATCCCGCAGCGGCCAAAGAAGTCGTTCTCGCCGATAAGCCGCTGATTTCCGAGGAAACCGACCTGCTCGAACCAACCCTGCTGGATGAGCTCATCTGTCACATCAGCTCTCTGGCCAGTGTTTACCACAAACCGCCAACGGCATTCGTGGAAGGTCGCGGAGCCGGTGTCCGTAAGAGTCTACCGCACCGTTCAGCGTCGGCCGCCGGAGAAGAAGCTGCACAGGAGGCAACTGTTATTCCGAACCAAGAATCTTTGATCGGTGACCTTCTCTCGATGGACATTGGAGCTCCAGCAGCACCTGCTGCGCCAGCCGCAAACACAAGCAATGTAGATCTGCTGGGAGGTGGTCTCGATATCCTCCTAGGACCGAACCCGACCGGTGAGGTCACCAACAACACTGCTGCCCCTGCTGCTTCCGCTGCCGCTGCTGGTGGTGTTGGAGCCGGCGGTCTTTTGGGTGACATTTTCGGAATAGGTCCTCCCGTTGCCACCAACATGATTCAAATCCCAAAGATCACCTGGCTCCCGGCCGACAAGGGCAAGGGTCTTGAAGTCCAGGGAACATTCTCTCGCCGCAACGGTCAAGTGTACATGGACATGACCTTCACCAACAAAGCCATGCAAGCAATGACTGGATTCGCCATTCAGCTGAACAAAAACAGCTTCGGTTTGGTACCTGGTGCACCTCTCCAGGTGGCACCCCTTCAACCATCCCAATCCACAGAAGCATCCCTTGCTTTGGGTACCACCGGTCCAGTTCAACGAATGGAAGCTCTCAACAATCTCCAGGTTGCCATCAAGAACAACGTGGATATCTTCTACTTTGCCTGCCTGGTGCACGGCAATGTCCTGTTCGTTGAGGATGGACAGCTAGACAAACGAGTTTTCCTAACCACCTGGAAGGAGATCCCCGCCGCCAACGAGATTCAATTCAACCTGCACGGAATCGTTGGTACGGCCGATACCGTCGCTGCAAAAATGACCGCCAATAACATATTTACCATTGCTAAGCGGAACGTCGAGGGACAGGACATGCTCTATCAGTCGCTCAAACTGACCAACAACATTTGGGTCCTGTTGGAGCTGAAGTTGTCCCCGGGAAGCCCGGATGCGACGCTCAGTTTGAAGACTCGATCGGTCGAAGTGGGACAGATGATATTCGCTGCCTACGAGCAGATCATTCGGTCTCCTTAAACTGTTGATTCGTTCGTAACAACAAGATGAAAAAATTATTTAATGCTAATAGAATTATACATAATTCCCAACTGTACTAATAGTGAATACAAAGATTCCAGGGGACACGCGTTTATCTGAATATATTTAGCAGAAATGTTATCCGTTACGACGGCACAGAATTGTGAAAAAAAAACTCTCATCCTTTAGACGATAGCAGGTGCGGTGACACGCAGTTAATGAAGGTAAATAATATTCGCATATAGTGACTGCGCCATTGTTTTTAGTTTGACAATTATGAGCTACACATTATAGGATCCCCTTACACTATTAACTGCATTATTATACAAAAGTGAATATATGAACATTCGTAAATGTAATCGTAAATTATAAACATAAAGTGTGCTTGTTACTAGGATGACACTCCCTGCGCTGCGAAAACAAAACTACTATAGCTTGATGGATGTGTGTCTTACTCGTCTAGTGCGGCTACATTCTGCAAGGGAACGCCAACACTTTTACAGAATGATGGATGTCACCGCTATTAAAGGTAATAAGAGAATGGTAGAACATTCCGGAGACTTTCAGGAACATTCCGGGAACATTTGGATGAACTTCTTAGAATCAAATTGTCTTAAAACGACATCAGAAAACATTTGCAGCATATAGTGGGGGTACCTAGCAATAAGTGCGCAATTCAGCGCTGATGACGAGGTAGGGTGGTTAGTCTCATGCAGACCATTTGGACGCCATTAGGATTGGTTATGGGCAGGCTTGTTATTTCCTCACACATTGAGCACGCAAAAAGTTAACTTTACAGCTTATCACATTGAGGAGAACGATTGCACAGCTTTATGAAATACAAATTTAATGGTAGATTGACAAACATGAGACGAGCAGATAAATTTTGGAACCATGGGTTAAGCAGATATTTTCGCATGAAAATGTTATATTTTATATTGAAATGTTATCAAAATTTAAACAAGTTTGTATGAATGTTTTAGGCCCTACCCTTGAAGCTTCTAATTGAACAAATATTATTCTGGGGGAACTTCAATCAGTTCATGTTTTATATAGTGTTGCGATAGAAAAGAGATATGTGCTTACCTGTCAGTATCCTCCAACTTTCTTATAAAGGATTCAAAATGAAAGTGCAGAGTTCATTCACAGTAAACAATATGCATTTAAAATTCAAATGTTTCACTCAGCATCAACGCTACTTCTGGGATCAGGTCAGGATTCAATTTGAGGACCATTAGGTCTTGTATACGCTTGTCACCTAAATGTTGGCGGTGGTCGGTAAGAACGAGTTCAAGCTACCATCGAGTACGCCCCGAGCAGCACCATTTTTACGGCCACTGCGGAATACCCGGTAATGAGGCAGTAGACCAACTCGCTGGAACTGGACCGGCGGGTCCGAGATTCACGGACAAAGTTCCCCTTCCAGATCTCCGGCGATGGTTCAAAACAACCATGCAGAAAGCCTGGGCCGACCAGTGGTTCAGCACCCGAGAGCCTTTCATCCGGAGGATCAAAGGAACCACGAAGGCATGGACGGACCTCCCAAACCTTCGGGATCAGAGAGTGCTCTCGAGGCTGAGGACTGGACACTGTCGGTTATACTATAACTTCGGCGGCGGAGGTCCCTTCCACAAGAGCTGTGCCATCTGCCACGTCCCGGCCACCGTTGAACACGGCATCTGTCCTGAATTCCAGGACCTCAGGGAAGCCTATGGGATCACCTCCAGCATCCGGAACCTGCTCGGAGAGGATTCACCCGCTGCAGACGCCCTGCTAGTTTTCCTCAGGGAAGCTAACCTATACCATGGGATCTAGGAAAACTATGGCTGTTATATTCGTTTGTATACTCGTTCATTTGTTTATATGTTTAATTTCTTTCGACTGTCGGGACGGCACCGCACGGGATGAGCCTTTGGACCTCGTCACGGTGTTGTCTCGTTCAGATTTGTGTCATTCATTTTGAACTTGTTGTCGTCTTCGTGAAGAGCCAGGAGAGCTGTCACCTTACAGCCTCAGCAGCCGGAGGGGCATCACATGGGATGAGTCTTTTGGACCTCATAAAGGTGTTCCCCCCAGGCATTGTCAGTAGAAATTCAGTTTAAGCCTACTATGTCCAACTACTCCGTAGGAGGTTCTCCTTCTGAGACCTCAACAACTGACTAGAGATGAACTAGCCTAAGGCTAAAAATCTCTTTAATAAAGAATTTAAAAAAGGTAAGAACGAGCTATAATGCGCTGAACACCCTTTCCACCGTGACTTGAGTCGATGGAGCTGACAGCACTACCATCGCCAGACGGTACATTTCTGGCCTACGGAGCTATTCACCTGCCCAATATTTAATCGCATCAAATCGCTCGGATAGAGAGGTTTTACTTGGAATCGGTGTCGGCCAAATGTCTTCTTTTTTTCCTTAATTTGTTTTCCGTCGATCTTGTTTTCCGTGCTGGGCACCAATGCTACCGACGCCAAGGAGGCAGCTCCCACACCTGGACCCTACCTATCGACCCATCATCTCATGAACCGGGGACCAACTGCTTTACTTCGTTTCCGAAGGAAGGCGTGATCAGAGATGTTATGCCTCAGAACATCCCGGTGGCGCCGACTGGGATTGAACCCAGGCCTGCTGGGGTGAGAGGTAATCACGTATTACCAGGTATGACGAATTTTGAACATTTAATTGTTTTTGTATTTCAATATATATATATGTATTCGATTCAACTGATTTTCTATCTTTCGCCTGCAGATGGAAGATATTTGAAAGGACTATCTAGAAAGGAAAAAAAAAGTGAACTGCACTGCAAATAAGATCAGGGTGGCAAGTGAACCAGGAAAACCGGGAAAAAGTCGGGAATTTATTTTCACCTGGAAAAACCGGGGAAAAACCAGGAATTTCATAAGTCCACCAGGAAAATAATCTTAAATAGGTTTTAAATTTTATGTATGTCAAAGTTTCTTTTTATAATCAGGTCAAACCTAACCATTTTGTTCAAGCTAAATCTTTCACACAACTAAACATTGATGAACAAAATTTACCCTGAGAATTTAGTAAACATATTTTGTATTTATTTTTTATTTTATTTTTCTCGGATCAATTGCATGTATGATTTGTGCTTAATTGATAGCAGACTTAAGCAGTGCCGACGCGTAACTACTTTGAAGTACCTGCCCGAGCAAAGCTGGAGATCAAATTGAAATCAAAATTTGCTGTTATGATGTAACTTATTTTGAATACTCCAGTTGATATCATTTTGGTTGACTTAACGGTTAACACAGCAAAAATGAGAGCAACATTTTACACTGTCGAATCAAACGGAAAACTAATCCTGCTTTCAATTTAATCAATTTGATTACTGATTTTGCATTAATAATGTATAACTGAATACGAGCCTGGCGTAAATGGTTAGCATCCATGCTTCTCCCGCTGGAAGACTTGAGCTCAAATCTCACCCCGGGCAAGTCACGAATGGCCTCAAATGTGTTAAACAAAACAAATAAACAGATGAACTTAATTTAAATTTTAAGCAAGACGTTAACAGCAGAACTTCTAATTAAGTTGCTTTCATTTAAAAAATCTTGACTGCATAATGAAGGCACACTATGATATCAGACTTCTGTCGCGACAATTTAAATCAAAATGAATTTTCATTATGATAGGAACTGCAAAGTTTAATATCGATTTGCTTTAATTTTGTTAACCGACTTTGCTCGGGTGTTCAACATGTTCAATAAAAAAGTTCTATTTCTAAAAACTTCAGATAAGGCCTTCGAACTTTATGCAAGTTATATAAAATTCGGAAAGTCTTACAAGTTTCAGAGAAGTTCTACAAATTTCAGAGAAGTCTTACGAACTTCAGGGAAGTCCTTTAATCCTGGGGGAATAACTACGAATTTTACAGAACTTTCTACAGATTTAATGTAACTTCTACGACATTTAGGCATTGCTTAAAACTTAAGGATAATCCTATGGAAGAGAAGTCTTCAATACTCTTGGGAAGTCCTCTGAACTTAACATAGTTCTCCAAGCTTAATTTTTTTTTTCCTAGAACTTCCGAGAAGTCAATTGAACTACAGGTAGTCCTACGAAATTCATGGGAGCTCTCCAAACTTCAGGGATTTTCCAAGAAATCAAGGAAAGACCCACAAACTTTTGGAAAACCCTTCGATATTTAAAGCCTTATGCACTTCAGGGAAGCTCTCCTAAATTTAGGGTCCTCATATATTCAGTTAAGTCCTTCAAACTTCAGGGAAGTCCTCAGATCTTCGAGAAAGTTCTTCGAAATTGAAGGAAGTCTTACGAACTTCTGAGAATTTCTACGAACTACGTGGTACTTCTACGATATTTAACAAATTCCTATGAATTTCAAAAAACTCCGAACTTCAGGGAAGTCCTAAGATCATAAAAAAGTCCTTCAAACTTCAATGAACCCTTCAGGAAAGACCTTAACGCTTCAGGGAAGTTCTACGAACTTTAGGGAGTTTCTATAAACTTCAGCAGTCAGTCTTTTTAATAATAAGAGTTATTAAACCAACGTTGTTTATGAAATCTTTTAATCATATGATTTTGAAATCATGTTGTAATCAAAATTCCGCTAAATAAGATCTTTAATCGTTGACAATTTGCGGAAAATTTAAAAAACTGGGAATCCTTAAAATTGTTAGAAGCAAAGGTTTGTTTAAAGAGTCCTCATTCATATCACACTTAGCAATTTCACCTTGAGATAAAGCCCGTTGGCTAAAAATCTCAATAATAAAGTTAAAAAAAATCGCAGTTTCAAAAACAGAAAACTCAAGATTCAGGGGCTTATAGATCTCTAAATTTCAGACATTAGATAGGGCTCCGCGCTAGTCCGTCGTATCTCAACTTTTCTTCGTCATACACCCCTAAAATCGCTCATTTTACAGGTTATCGCAAATGTTCCAGTTTTGCAAAAACATGAGTTTAAACGCTTTGCTACTATAGTTTTAGCACATAGAACGGAAATAGGCGCCATGATACGACGAAGTAGCGCGGCTCCCTACTAGCTTCTTTACAGCAAACAATCATGTATATATAGATTTCACGGGCATTCACAAGAACCTTAATACCTATTTTGGTTTGTGAAATTCCGCATTGCGCGAAGAATGATGGTACAAGGATTCACTTTATTTTTTTTATTAAAAATTGTTTTTTTAAATACATGGTTTTTTAAACCAGGAAATTTTTAAATCGAAGATTTTCTCGTCAGGAAAAAACCAGGAATTTCAAAATGGAAATTCACTTGCCACCCTGGAAGATTTTACACACTAAAATAAAATAAAAATCTTTCTTTTTTCATAGATTTCACCGGCCCCTTATAAATTTTTTATGGTTATTTTGCT